AAGTTCACTGGGACAAAGATCTTTATTTTGCACACTAGGGTTTCAGAGCCTGCAGCATGCCTGACGCATGATGGGTATTTGCCCACTTTGTATTTTATGGATTAATACATTCATATATGAAGGAATGAATGAATGAATAGAATTTTCTGTTCTCCTTTCACTACCTCTAAACACACTTCATTTTAACTTCTCCCTGTTCTGACAACTGTACCTCATACTTCATTTGTCAACATTCCCTGAACATTCCAGAGTAAACCCGTGTAAAAGTTGTCTCTTTGAGATAGTCTTCAGGCTCCTCCTGGCAGGTGAGTGGCTGAGTGGCTCCTTCCTCTGTGTAATCATTCCCAAATCCTCACTGACATTTACCTCTCTGTCACCTACAAGTCTGAGAGTCCTTAGATCATGACTTCCTCTCTTTATATCATCCAAAGTTCTTATCATCATAGATGCATAGCCAGTATTTACTGATTGAATTAATGAACAAAACATTTTATATAAACACTATGGTAACATATAACTGAGATAAATAATATTGCCAAAAGTAGGTTTTTAAAACAATATGAAATGTCCATTCCAAAGATGGGAACTTGTGTTTACTTTTCACCTCTGTTATCTCTGGTCATAGAAAAGCCTCACTGCTTGGACCATGTGCCATACCTATGTTCCTTAGGCCCCTGGAGGCAGCCACCAGAGTGCTTCCTACCTATCTGGGAGAAGATACCTTACAAATGCATGTCTTTTTTAGATAGCAGGGGCCGCTGTCTATTACCGATGTGATTAGTTAGCTTTACCCTGTGTGCTTATCTTTCACATTATCATGATTCTTAAATTGAACTTAATGGTATCTTTTTATATTTCTTTTGTGGTATTTAATGGAAGCATGTAGACTAGTGCTCTTAGTTGGAATTAATCCACGCCAATGCAGACTTCAAAACCTTAGATGACTTTTATAGCTGACTGGTATGCTCAAAACTAAAGACTGGGACCAGCAGATGGTATAATGGGTACATCTCTGGACTCCCACAAATTCAACTGTGGTTCAAGTCCCGGACCTGGCAGCTTAAAAAATTCACACCAAGTGCATGTGTATGCATGCCCAAAATTCCAAGCGGAGAATGGAGGTGAAGGGATTGTGGCATGGCCATCCCCTCTGGGGAGTCATTTCTCGCTTTTTGTCTCTCTGTCTCTCTGGTGAGCGCATACACTCTGTATCAAAAATTTCTCTTAAAAAACGACTTAAAGACTAATTAGACAGTAAAAACCTGACACTGTACACTCCAGTTTCCATTGCAAATTGCAATATTTAGCATGAAATGCTTTACACAGATGCTGGCGCTTATTCAAAACCAAACCATTGCCTGATTTTTGGTTCTTTTTGTTTTTGTTTTCAGATAAGAGGCTTGGAAACCGCTTACTGCATTGATAGCATGGGAAAAACCAATGGAGGCTTTGTTGAACTCGGACCCTGCCACAGGATGGGAGGGAATCAGGTAAACTGCCTTGCTTTCACCCTCAAATTTTTCTGCCTTTAGACAACTGGTCTTGTTACCTGTAGGACTTAATATGGTTTTTAATTTTATAATTTTGTTTTAATAAGTGAAGCATTCTGTAAAAAAAAAAAAAACCTGGCAGCACTGAAACATTCACTGAAGTAGGATGATAATAGCACTTATGTTTTCACATAAGTGATAAGAATCTAAAATTGGGGGAACCAGCCTACTGTAATGGCTATGTCGCTGGACTCCCACATAGTCGACCGCGGTTCACGTCCTGGACCCGGTGGCTTAGAACTCACGCCGGGCGCGTGTGCATGCGTGCCCAAGATCCCAAGAGGAGAATGGAGGAGAAGGGATTGTGACGTGACCATCCCCCTGGGGGGGGTGATTTCTCGCTTTCTGTCTCTCTCTCTCTCTCTGTCTGTCTGGCAAGCACACTCACCCTATAGCAAAAAAACCTCTCAAAACAAACAAACAAAAAAAATAAGAATCTAAAATTGGTTCTACTGTAAGAGATTAAAATAGGTTAAGATTATATAGTTGTCTCCACCTTAACTATGCCTAACTCCCTAACCTTTTTTTTTTTTCAAATATCATTCAGTAATCCCATTTTTTTTCTCAATAAACTGGGAAGTTACTGCCAGTAATGTGTACTTTACTCATTTATTTTCTTATTTTCTTATGTAGTTGTTTTTCTTGTGTCTAATTTAGATTGTGAAACCATCAGACCTGTTTCCACTTTTTCATTTTTTGACATTGTTGGCATATGTTAGTAACCCATTCTTTATCTTAGACGCTAAAGAATATGATCATTAAAGTGTTAGTAAGGATCTTCAGTAACATAAAAATAAATAGAATTTTTGTCTATGGACTTGTAGTTCTAAACACATAGAAAAATAACTTAATCATTCAGTTTGATTATGGGAATTAAGTTTCTTTTTTGTATTTAATGTATATCAAGAAGGAAAATGCCTCTGCTATTCTTTGTTTCTTTTCTTTTTATATAGCTTTTCCGCATCAATGAAGTAAATCAACTCATGCAGTATGACCAGTGTTTAACGAAGGGGCCTGATGGGTCAAAAGTTATGATTACACACTGTAATCTAAATGAATTTAAGGAATGGCAATACATCAAGGTATTCTATGTTTCAACTCTTGAAATATTACATGCTATTTCATTTTCAGCAGAACTAAGCATGTGAAATTTGGGTGAATAAATCTTAAAGACTGCATTCAAAATGGCTTGCATTCCCCTCTCATTTAGTCATTCATGTAGGTTTTCCTGAGCACTGGATGATTCGTTTTTCCATAATGAGGTATCGCTTTTGTTTTCAAATACAATATTGTCAAGTAATGAGGTCACAGTGATGTTCATGAAGACCCACTGCTACTTTCAGAAACAAGAAAGTCAGTGTTTGTGAGGCCATCATCAACATTATTCCAGTATCGAAACCTGAATTTTAAAACCTAAGTGAATCATTCATTATAGTAAGATGTATTTTTACCATATTTGGTTAGTATTTCATGTTGTCCACTAGGTGGAGATAGAGACAACAAATAAAACAAGTTAAAAAAATCTAGGCCTTCACAACTTCCTTATCATTGCTTGCTAAATACAACAGAATAAATGCAGCCCGTAGCTTGTTTAAAGGTCAAATTTAATTATCCACTTGACTCTGCTGGCACAGTTTTTTTGTTGTTGTTTCAGCTGTGAGTATTTAAAGCTTATGCCATTGGCACATGCCTATAATCCCAGCTACTCAGGAGGATGAGGCAGGAGGATTTCAGGTTAAAGGCCAGTCTTGGCAACATAGTGAGACCCTGTTTCAAAAATAGGTAAAGCTCTCTGGAAAGTTGAGGATTCCAACTTATAAATAGATTAACGTGAAATGTTCAAAACCTAGACTTGGATAAAATATATCAATTTCATTATGAAAGAAAAAGCTGGGAAAGTTGCCTCAAACTGAAGGAATCAGGCAACATTCAACTTATCTAAAATTTTTTATCATATCCCATCTGTCATGCAGGCACTTGTTTCCTGTATCATAATGATATTATGGCCCAGCTAAATATTCCCAGTTATCATCATTTATGGATAATTACCATGACGTAATAAGCACATGTCAACTGCTGAGTTCATTTTTTTTAATAGTAAGTTACAAAGGGGATTACCATAAGAACAGAGCATTTATTTTCATAAATAAAAATGAATAATAACAATAAATTATAGAGGTCAGTTAGAACAATGTTAGTAAAATAATAAAAGAAAAATAACAGATCAGGAACCACCATCAAGAATTAATGGGTAGGGACCAGCATATGGCATAATAATTACATCACTGGACTCCCACATGGCTGACCATGGTTCGAGTGCCAGACCTGGCAGCTTGAAACTCTTGCTGGGTGTGTGTGCATGTGTTCCCAAAATCCTGAGAGAAGAATGGAGGAGAAGGAATTGTGGCACGGCTATCCCCACAGGGGGTAATTTCTCACTTCTCACTTTCTGTCTGTTTCTGTATCTCCGGCGAGCACATGCACCCTATGGCAAAAATCTCTCCAGGAAAAAAAAAAAAAAGAATGGATAAAAACAGAGCATATGTGTTTTAGATATTTTAAAGGACAGCACTGAATATACTTACATGCATCAGACATTGCTAAATATTCACTGGGACCCAGTGATGCAGTAGTCTGTACAAGAGTTTTTTAAAAGTACCTAAAGCACACATATATTTGTAATAGTAGAGCAGGGAAAAAAAAAAGTAAAAATAAAATGCCATACGAAAGCAAAAGTGTGATTAATAGGATCAAGTATTTCTAATAACTTTTGTAAAGAAATACTGTTGCATCGGGTCCTGAGGATTAAAAAGGCTTTCCGTGGAAGATAAATAAGAACACTGGATAAGCAAGGCATGACATGAAACCATGTAGAGAATTCTATGAATCTCCTTTATTTTGGTATCCCTATTTTGTACTACTGAAGAAAGAACATCAGGCTTCATTTTGTAAGTTTTGGAGAGCAATTAACATTTGAAGAAGGCAGTGATAGAAAACAATGGATACTTTGAGGAAAATAATTCTGGAAAAATTGTGAAATATGGGCTGATGAAGCAGCATTTTCAGCTCAAGCAGCCATTCTCAAAATTTCTGGTCTCTGGATTCCCTGTATACTTTTTTTTTTTTTTAAAGGTGTGTGGCATAGGATGTGCACTCACCAGAGAGAGACAGAGAGGGAAAGTAAGAAATCGTCCTTCAGAGGAGATGCATGCTGCAATCCCTTTTCCTTATTCTCCTCTCAGGATTTTGGGCATACATGCACCTGCACCCAGAATGATTTTTCAAGCCACTGGATCCATGACTTGAACTGTAGTCGGCCAGATGGGAGTCCAGCACCTCAACCACCATGCCACCTGCTGGCACCTCCCTTTACACTCTTAAAAAAATCACTGAAACCCTGTCAAACAGCTTTTGTTTATTTAGGTTATCACTAATAATATTTCCAGAACTGGACATTAAATCTTGATACATTTGTAAAGTTTTTGTATATTAATTCATATAAAATAATTATAACAGCTCTCATGAGACTATAAATATTTTTCCCACACAAAAAAGATAGAGGAATGGTATTGTTCTATATTTTTGGAAATCCTTTAATACCTGTTTTAATAGAAAATAGCCAGATTCTCACAGTGCCTCTCCATTCAATGTGATGTAATATATTGTTTTATTTGAAGTACACATATGAGGAAAATCCAGCTTCACAAAAGCATGCATTTGGAAAAGAGAGAGGTAATTTAATAGCCTTTTCAGATAATTGTGACTATTCTTGGATACTATACTACCACCTAGTAAGTGGTAGTTTCTTAAAAGTTACTTGCAATGTAAAATCTGAAATAATATCACTAACATTTTATTCTATGTTACATTAAAATCTTTGATTTTACACTCTGAATGGATCTTTTATCTGAGTTTTTCTAAAATTATGCACTGCTTGTTTAGAAAATATCACACCTTAAGTGTGAGTATATGCAGTGAAGAATATAACCACTAGGCAGTTTGGTGTCACTTAGTGATTCATGCCAAAGCCTCAGCAATTTTACACTGTTACCTTTGCATCATCAGTATAAATAATGCAAAAAAGCAAGTGGAGACTGCGCATTATCATGAAATTGGTTTTGTCCTTACAGACCCTATCTTGGAATGTCTGAGGACCATTCTTTGAGAAGTCCTGAGCTATACTGAAGAAACCTACTACCTATAACCTATGGAGGGCTAAATTGGGTATCTGCAGGGGGTGTGGGAAGGGATATAAACTAGAGACATTACAAATATCAGAATTTAATGACTGGTGATGTGTGTGAATGAGGAAAAATACAGTTTCCTGAGGACTGGGAAATTGATGGTCATTGGTCAAGAATCAGAAAAGTGGAGGGGAAGATAATGAATTTAGGTTTACATACATTGAATTTAAGAAACCAGTAGAATATTGTGATTTAACAATAAAGGGACTTAGAAGACTGACAACCAAAAGAAATCCTAATTCTGAGGTATGGTGGTATAACTTGTCCAATTCGCCTGAACTGCCTCTTTATAAAAGTCAGGTAATTTAAAAAAATAAATAAATAAATAAATAAATAGTCAGGTAATGATTTCTAGTATCATCCAAATTAAAAACTTTTTTCTTTCTATTTTCCAGAACCTGTACAAATTTATTCATATTCCTTCAGGAAAATGCTTAGATCGCTCCGAAGTCCTACATCAAGTGTTCCTCTCCAATTGTGACTCTAGTAAAATGACTCAAAAGTGGGAAATGAATAACATCCATAGTGTTTAGAAAGAAAAAAAGAAACCAATAACCTACCTACTGACAAATAAATTTATACAGGACTGAAAACCACCTGAAACCTGCTGCAACTATTATTATCTCCATACAACTCCAAACCTGAAACCTCCTGATCAGTTTGAAGGACGTTGATAAACTGTGATTTTACAATAACATTATCATCTGCAGTTACTGTTTACAAAACTGCTTTTACCTTAAACTTTGTAGATGTTTACATCTTTTTTGTTTTGTCTTAAGATGATGTTGGTAATTTGTGTTTTTAGCTCTGTTTTATTAAAACAGAGGTAAAAGCATGTTGTCTTCTTTGGGATTACACTCAGGGGTCTGAAAGGCAGTTTGGTTTTGTTTTTGTTTTTAACACACTTGAAAAAAAAAAAAAAGGTTGGAGTAACCAGATTTTCATATACAACATGGTAATAATCAACCTGTTGTGTCTATTTAATTTTACATCTTTTTGAAGCACTGCCACAGGTTATTAGCCAAGGTGGCCTTCCTTCACAGTCATGCTGCTTTTTTAAAAGGTGAATTTCAACACATTTAGTGCCTCTTTCATTTCTCAGTTTATATTTAAAGAGCTTTTGATGAAATGTATAGGACAGTAATGATGGAATTGTCACCAATATTGGGAATACTTTTACTACTCAGAAATGAATTTATTCCATTTGCTATGAAGTTGAATGTTGAATGGCTTGAAAAAGAAATGACAATTAAAACACCCAAGGCTATGTAGTCTAGAGGATTTGAAGACTGCGGCATTAACTCCCTTACCTGCTAGCATTCCCAATGCCTTTTGTCTGTATAAGCCCCTAGAATAGTAAAGTGCTCTTCCAACAAGAGAAAAATTGTCCTCTGACATTTGGGAATTTACTTTGCCCCAGTATCTGTCACTATAAAAAACTATAATTCTTAGTTTTGAAAATTTGAAAGGGGGTGATAAAACAGCAAAACACCACTATAAACACATCAAAGGTTAATTCTGTCTGAGGTAAAAATTTCTAAGCCGTTGTTAGAGTAAGCCTTACCAATAGTCAGGTAATGATTTCTAGTATCATCCAAATTAAAAACTTTTTTCTTTCTATTTTCCAGAACCTGTACAAATTTATTCATATTCCTTCAGGAAAATGCTTAGATCGCTCCGAAGTCCTACATCAAGTGTTCCTCTCCAATTGTGACTCTAGTAAAATGACTCAAAAGTGGGAAATGAATAACATCCATAGTGTTTAGAAAGAAAAAAAGAAACCAATAACCTACCTACTGACAAATAAATTTATACAGGACTGAAAACCACCTGAAACCTGCTGCAACTATTATTATCTCCATACAACTCCAAACCTGAAACCTCCTGATCAGTTTGAAGGACGTTGATAAACTGTGATTTTACAATAACATTATCATCTGCAGTTACTGTTTACAAAACTGCTTTTACCTTAAACTTTGTAGATGTTTACATCTTTTTTGTTTTGTCTTAAGATGATGTTGGTAATTTGTGTTTTTAGCTCTGTTTTATTAAAACAGAGGTAAAAGCATGTTGTCTTCTTTGGGATTACACTCAGGGGTCTGAAAGGCAGTTTGGTTTTGTTTTTGTTTTTAACACACTTGAAAAAAAAAAAAAAGGTTGGAGTAACCAGATTTTCATATACAACATGGTAATAATCAACCTGTTGTGTCTATTTAATTTTACATCTTTTTGAAGCACTGCCACAGGTTATTAGCCAAGGTGGCCTTCCTTCACAGTCATGCTGCTTTTTTAAAAGGTGAATTTCAACACATTTAGTGCCTCTTTCATTTCTCAGTTTATATTTAAAGAGCTTTTGATGAAATGTATAGGACAGTAATGATGGAATTGTCACCAATATTGGGAATACTTTTACTACTCAGAAATGAATTTATTCCATTTGCTATGAAGTTGAATGTTGAATGGCTTGAAAAAGAAATGACAATTAAAACACCCAAGGCTATGTAGTCTAGAGGATTTGAAGACTGCGGCATTAACTCCCTTACCTGCTAGCATTCCCAATGCCTTTTGTCTGTATAAGCCCCTAGAATAGTAAAGTGCTCTTCCAACAAGAGAAAAATTGTCCTCTGACATTTGGGAATTTACTTTGCCCCAGTATCTGTCACTATAAAAAACTATAATTCTTAGTTTTGAAAATTTGAAAGGGGGTGATAAAACAGCAAAACACCACTATAAACACATCAAAGGTTAATTCTGTCTGAGGTAAAAATTTCTAAGCCGTTGTTAGAGTAAGCCTTACCCAACTCCTGTGCATTATTACCTAGGCTGTACAACTTTTGAAGCCAAGAGTGAATTTATGTCTGTTATATCTTCATCCAAATGAGATTTCCTACATGTTCTTAAACATTTTTAAAAAAGGAACTATTTAAGCATATAGTTCACTAACAAATGTGAACCACTTTGTGTTAATTCGTTGTTAGTTCCCTAGTATTTCTTAATTTCTTAGGAAGTATATTTTGATTATTATTTTCCAGTGAAAAGAGTTGTCTGGATTTAAACACTTATTAAGATAGCACCTGTCATAGGAGAATCAAATACTGCTAATGGTAAACTAGACTTCAACTTCTAAACAATCTTTTTTATTTCCCCAAAGATTAAAATGCCTGAATTGAGCTCTTAAAAAGAAAATGTGAGGTGGGGAAGGGCAAGTGAAGTTAAGCATTTTTGATCCTGTAATCATGGCATCATCACAATGAAAGCAATTCACAAACTACTGCCAGAGGAAAATATTTTTAATTAAAGCTTTAAAAAAAAAAAAAAAAACTACATTTGTTAGAAGTTTATAAATTTGGAGAGTCCAAGTTAGTTCTTAAATTTGGAGAGTCCAAGTTAAACATCCTAAACAGACTTTTAATCAACCATTTTAAATTTCATTCATCTCTAGGGATGTTTACAAAAGAATACATTTATATGCTTATAAAATTGCAAAATAAATCAACTATAAAATTGAAACAGAATTGGTACTTTAATTACTTGTGTGTTTGCAAATAGGCTCCATTTTCCATGTTGAATAGATTATAACCTTGTTAACTATGCATAGGCCTAAGAAAGGTGGCAATGAACTGTGCATGTAAATTTTAAATGGGTATTTTGTGCAATTCATTAAGATACTCTGAATATGAGTCTTTATGTTGAAATCAGAAACTTTACCAAACGAAAAACATCAGAAGCTGCTGCCATAATGACTTTTCTACCGTAGGCTGCTCTGGAAATAATTCCCATATCCTTGCTTTGTAAGTTGATAATATCACTATGCATTTCTACACATTTTATAAATTTGATTTATGCAGATTTTGATACACTGTATGTTTCTGTAGAAATTGTATAAATATTCAAAATTTTATTAGGGTAAATTTGAGAAGCTTATGTATATCTTAATTCTGGGTTGCTTGTTTTTTAGGTGAGGAAAAATAAAATACTGTATTTTAATTCATTGGTTTTTATTTTCAGTACTTGTAATCATTTATAAATCTAAACACTGTATATTTTAAAGAAATGCTTAATTTTACTCTTCACAAGATACATTTAATAGCAAAACTATCATAAACTATACTGTTAATTAGTTAAGTATATGCTGGTGTGTTGGTTAGATTTCTGCTACACGAACTTAGACTACTCAGAGCTTACCTATCTATAGGAAGAAAACATAAAAATATATTTTTACAAGTTTGTCCAAGTATAACTATTTTTTAAAGTCACATATCCAGTTATAAAAAAATAACTCCAGCAACATATATTTTTCTTGGCAGTATATTCTAGGGTGTAATTACCTAGAAAGAAAAAAAAGTCTTTAAACCAAAATTCTTTATAACCAGACAGATTTAGGGAAAAGGGAAGCCTACCAAAATGAAGTTAGAAACTCCATAGGACCTTGTGATGCAAAACATATGAATTTTTTAAATTGTTTTCATTTGGCCAGAGAGGGATAGAGTGAGAGAGAGAGAGAGAAAGTGAGAAAGCAAGCCACCAGGTCCAGGACTCAAACCATTGTCCAGTGTCCTTAACCACCATGCCACCTTAAACATGACATTTTGAGAAAATATAGCATGGGGCCAGCAGGTGGCCTGGTGGTGATTGGGGGCACTGTATTTCCACATGGCCAACTGCAGTTCAGGTCCTGGACCTGGTGGCTCACTTTCTCACTTCCCCTCTTTCTCTGATCAAACTGGAAAATAAGTTTAAATAAAATAATTCTTAAAAAAGAGAGAAATACAAAAAAAGAGAGAGAAGATATGACTGCTAACAGATTCAAGTTATCAACTGGCTGTGTTGATTTGGGAAACATTCTTTCAGCTGACTTTTCTATCATCATGTCTTCCAATTATTAGCTGCTATGGAGGTTTAGGCTAAGAAATGTGAAAAGTTAACATAGCTCTAGACTGAAGTAAATGGAGGGTTATTTCTTAAGCTAGCCTCACACAGGTATCTTGAAATATATTCCCTATCCAGACAGAATATAACTGAAAAAAACCCACATGTAACTAAATTAAAAACAATGACAAGTACCTAACTAGAGCTAGATACCCAGTATCCCAGAAGTTTAGCTTTGTGAAAAATTTTCCACTTTTTAAAAGTATTGAGCACTGTAAAATATGTATCATTTATGAGAAGCAAATCTGTTGCAAGAAAATGGACAAAAGAGAATTTGGGGGACCACCATCCCTGGAATTAGCAATTTTCCTTTATTTAATTTTTGAATATCTCTAAATTAGATTCAGTAATGACTTGGCAATTTTGATTTTTAAGATTTTGAAATGCCCATAGTTGAGATGGCACATTTCAATTTTCTGAGTGAATCAGTTGTGGGGCCTATATCTAATCAGATGTGGACTAGATGTGGACTCCTCCATTTCAGACTAGAATGCTACAGACTGCCCATCTGAATGGTAGTATAGTGGGCTCTGAAATTTAAATCTGACAATTGTAGCAAGCCATCTCATCCTTCTTGGAAATATGTGAAGAATCAAATGTGAATACATAAATATGAATTATAGTGTTTTACTATCTTACCTGCCCTAGGACATTGTCCAGTTGCCATGTATTCCTGGAGACTAGACCAGATGATACAAATGCCATATCCAGTTTCAAAATTTGATACTACACATTGCTTAAAAGTTTTCTTGGGGCCAGCAGGTGGTGTGGTAGTTATGGCACTGGACTTCTACATGGGTAATTGTGAGTAGAGCCAGGACCCAGCAGCTTGAAAATCATGCCAGGTGTCTGTATGTGTGTGTCCACAATCCTGAGAATGAAGGGATTGCAGCAAGGCCATCCCACCTGGTGGTATTTCTCACTTTCCTTCTCTGTCTCTGGAACACATGCTCCCTATAGCAAAAACCTTGAACAAAGAAAAAAAAAAAGTTTTTCTTTCCTTTTAATATGTCTAATTATGCTGCTGATATACTATTCCATAGATCTGGTAACACCCATAAGAGAAGTCTGCACTATTAAGTCCTGAAAAATACAGGCTGAGAAGCTCAATCAAGTTCCATTGAAACCTCAGAAATAATGTCTATATTTACTTACCTTTCCTGCAGTGTAAGAAATTAAGGTGAGTTCCAATCAGGGCAAGGAAGGTTTTTTTCCTTTTTTTTTTTTTTTTTTTGGAGAGGTACAGAGAGACAGCGAGAAATCACCCCCCAGGGGGGATGGTCATGCCACAATCCCTTCTTCTCCATTCTCCTCTCGGGATCTTGGGCACGCACACAGGTCCGGCATGAGTTTTAAGCCACCAAGTCCGGGACGCAAACTGCGGCAGTCAACTACATGGCAGTCCAGCGACATAGCCATTATGCTAACTGCTGGTCCCTCCTTCTTTTTAAAGGTTTAATTTTACTTATTATTTTTTAATTTGTTATAGGGCACATGTGCTCACCAGAAACAGGTGCCAGGCAGGGGGTGGGGTGGGGGAGAGTGAGAAAGCAAGCAGCCAGACCAGGACTCGAACTACAGTGGGCCATGTGAGTCCAGCGCCTTAACCATGACAACACCTGCTGGCCCTGAAAGGTTTAACTATAAAAACAATGCTTAGCTATAAGGCACACACAAATCAACAAACCTGACTCAGGTAAACATTTACAGTTTCATTATCCCCTATTAAAAATCTCAAGACCACAACTGTTCCAAATGACAGGTTTTTATGGATTTGGGAATATTTGTGTGTGTGTATATATACAAAATACCTTGGGAATGACCCAAGTCTAAACATGGAATCCCATTTGCTTCAAATAAGCCCTATACGCACAGCCTGAAGGTAGTTTCGTCTCTTAACAATTCCTTCGTGTACATTGAACTATCAGAAGCAAAGGCGTCATGTCAGTGCTCAAGGGCTTTCAGATTTTGGAGCACATGAGGTTTCAGATATTCAGATTACAATTGCTCAACCTGTATTAGCAATCTTATGTGTACCTATACTATTTAATTTATACAAGTGGCAAACAGGTGACCTTTGGACAGATTATCAGATAACCCCTACACCCACACACATATGTATATATAGATACATAGATTTTTTTTAAAAGAGATTTCTGTTATAGGGTGGTTGTGCTTGCCAGACAGGAAACAAGAAATCACCTCCCAGGGGGATAGCCACACCACAATCCTTTCCCTTCCATTCTCCTCTCAGGATTTTGGGCATGCATGCACACATGCCTGGTTTGAGCTTTAAGCCGCCAGGTCCAGGACTTGAACCAGTCAACTAAGTGGGAGTCCAGTGGCTTGACCATTATGCCAACTGCTGGTCCCATGTTCAGATACATTATTTAACCTCAAACTTTGAACTCAATGCCAATATTTAAAACTGATTCCACTTTAGATGTCTAGTTCCACTTGAAAATTAGGAAGATCTGGTACTCCTAGATCACATTTCCATCCAACAATAGTACTAAATAGTGGCTGTCCCCTTTATCCTATTTATGTTTGCAAATACACATAGAACAGTTGCTGGCACTTGGGATACACCAGTGTAACAAAAATATTTCACTATCTTCAGAGATTGCTTCTTTCATGCTCACATGACCACACCCAGCCCTTTTCTATCTAGTCTCCATAGGTCTTTCCATTTCCTACCTTCATGTAATCCCACCTTTTTCTAAAACTATCAATCTTCTATAGAAATTTCATGAACTAATCAAAAAATAGCTTATATATAGAGGTATCAAGTTTCATAGGACCAGATTTTATGCAGTAGTGTAACAGCTCCTTTAGCTTTCTTACTATTCCCCACAAAACAAAATCATTACTGCTTTATAAAATATGTTCAGTGATTTATGCAGTAATAGGAAAAAAAAAAAAACATGCTAAGATAATGCTATATTTGGGGCTGGCCCCACAGAACAGTTGAGTGTTATGCACAGGGTTATCAGATCCTACATGGCAAACAGTTCAACTCGTGGCCCTGGCAGCTTGACAGACTCTCGACACATAGGCACATTTGCCCCAAATTCTGATATAAGTGGAAAAGGACTGCAGCATGATCATGCCCCACTGAAGGGTACTTTTTCTGGTCAAGTGCCAGGTAACCTCAGCCAAAATGTAATGCTGTATTTATACTAAAACAAGCTTGTATTTACTATTTGCTGTGAATGATTGTTAAAAGGCAAAATACAAAAAAGCATAGTTATTGAACCAAGTATATTTTGAAAGGAACTGTATAAGCTTCTAATCCAGCACCCTGCTTATAAACTAAAACTTTTAAGTAGTGAACAATATCCAGAAAGAAATCTGGTCGCCTTCCTTATTCCCTGTACCAAAATAAATTCCAGGACAAAAAACTTTAAATTTTTTCTTTTTTTTTTAAAGAGACCAAACCACAGTGGTGCAGTGGTAGCATCCCACTCAATGATGCTGGAACCATACTCGAGATTGGGGTTTAGTTCCTAGGTTGATCCCAGATAGCCAGAAAAGCTGGTGGGCAGATTATACCAAGACTACTGAGGGTACCTCTCTCATGTATGTTTTTTTTTAATGTTTACTATGGGGCATGTGTGCTTGCCAGAGACAAAGTGAGAAATCATCCCCCAGAGGGTTGGGTACACCACAATCCATTTTGCATTTCTCTCAGGATTTTGGCCCCATATGCACTCGCACACAGTATTTCCAAACAGCCAGGTCAGGACTCAACTGCGAACTCAGCCATATAGGATCCTGCACCTTAACATTTATACCTGCTGACATGAAAGAAATAACCTTTAATTAAAAAGAAACCAAAGGACAATTGTTTTTTATCATCTTTGGGAAAAAGCTTCCCAAAGCCATGAAAGGACAAACTGGCCTATCAAGTCACAACACAAAGAGAAAAATATTTATATGCCACAAAGGATCATTCTCCTTAATATATATTGAGTCTGTCAAAAAGTTCATGAAAATGAGTGTTACACTAAAACTGCATGGATTTCAGTTTTGCATCAAAAATGAACTTACACTTTAATTTCATTTTTTCCACAGTCCCCTCTATTAATAAGATCAATGAAAGAGACCACAGAAAACACAAAGGAATCTTAAGCGTAAATTACTAAACTCATAATAGGAGAAACTATTTTTTAAAGAATTGTTTTATTTAATTTTATTCATTGTCATTAATTTTTTTTGACGTTGGACAGAGAAAGGAAAGTGAGAAAGCAAGCTGCCAGGTCCAGGACTGGAACTGCAGCCAGCCACGTCAGACTCCAGCCACTTTAACCATCACGGCACCTGCCGGCCCCAGGAGAAACTCTATCTTACAAGTCACAATAACAAAGACTAAGTTTGAGAACTATTGTTGTTGAAATGAGAACAAACTACTCCAAACATTCACTGCTGTACAATACATATTAGAACAACTTCTGCTTAGTTTTAGCAGGCTTCAAAAGTTTACAAATAAGCACAAGTGCAGTTTCTGGCATAAGTATAGAGGTTTTAAGTATTATATTAGCAACATTAAAAAGTACAAGCCCAGGGCCAGTAAGTGATGTAGTGGATAAGGTGCTAGATTCCCCCATGGCTGAGAGCAGTTTGAGTCCCAGATCTGACAGTTTGAAAATCACAACAAACCAATAAATAAATGCCAACCCCCCCCCCAAAAAAAAACAGCACAAGCCCTTTGGCCCAACTATGCCATTATAGGTCTTTTCTCACTTATGTAAAATTAAATACAAGGACATTCATGCCAACATTGTCAAAACAAAAACAAACAATTATCCTTAGAGAAGTGGTTAAACTGTGATCTATTAGCTCAGATAATATGCAGATAAAATGTGGCAGCCCTGTTGTACTGAGACCGCCTCAAATCACATTATATACTATTATCTGGATTTGGTATAAACTGGCTTCCAGATCTATTTATGTGTCTAATATATATTACCACAAATGTTTCCACATACTAAGTTTCCTAACATCTGAAAACTAGTTTTCATTTTTTGAGAAAACCCAAATTTGAGCATGTAGTCATTAGGATGTGACAGAGGGCAATCATAAAGATGCTTGAACATAGTTTGAATCCATTTCTTCTGGTAATTATGTTGATACCATACTTCTGTTTTAAAAAAAAGGATGGTTAATATTTCCTATTTAAGAAATAATCCTTACCCAATATTTATTCCAAATATGGCATGAGAGAAACAACCAATGCTTCCATGGTTGGGTAATAAGAATCTTGACTTCTATTTTAAAATTTTGTAGGTAACCAACACTTTCAAATTTAACTATAAAATTGTCCCATTTTTTTTTTCTGAAAGTGTTTATAACCCAAAGGTAGTCAACTTTCATGATCGACTTCTAACTATCCAAAATAATCATCTTTATTCAAATACAAGCAACTGATTCCTCAAGTAAGCTTTTCATAAAATAACTGCCTACCTCTATAAATATAAATCCTAGGTCAATTTAATTAAATGATCATCGTATGTATGATGATAACCACCTCAAATACCTTCTTAGGCTAGTTACCAGAATTCTAAAGTTTTAAGACCAAACTAATTTTAAACAGACATAACTCAAAATTTACTCTGGTATCCTACCTTAAACTAGGTACAAGCTGTCAACTAAGAGTTGAATCTTGTTACTAATGATTTCTCATATCAAGAGAAACTTTCCCCAAGAAACAGTTAAGGAAAAAAAAAAACCTGTAAGACAAATTAGCTAATAAATTAACAAAAATGTCAAGAATAATATCATTCCATAAAAACTGCATAACTCTTAAGAGTCCATTAAATTTCAGATCTGATTTTTAAAGAACATGTAATGTGAATACGGGCATGTTTGGTTTTTCTAACCCTCTAAACATTTTACTAAATAAACCATGCCTAAGAACTTCTAGGCAGAAATTTTTAAAACTGACATTGCTCCAGTCTATCACTATTTTTTTAAGTGAAAGTTAATTTAACATAGTAAGACAAAGGCAATAGAAATAATATACATAATTTTATTACAAAATTGAAAAAAAAAAAAACACAAAATTCAACATCCTAAAAAACCCAAAATTTACTATTGATACCAATTCCTATGAGTGTGTTGTACTACCATACACAAGTCAAGAAATTAAACCATTAAATATGAAGGAACATTCAACATCAGAAGCTATAAAATCTAACTGTATGTAGTAGCCCCTCAAAAAGCTACAACTTGCATTCTTAAAAAAGTATTTTCTCTACAAAGAATCTTATCAGCTATACAAAAATCTGTACAGTTTTTATACTGAAGCTAATATTGAGCTGCACTTGAATTCACATTCTTAGCAAAACAATTGCCTGAGCATACACACACATTCCACACACATCATTACAGGATAGCCATTTATTCTTCATCTTCGTCTTCTTCCTCATCATCTTCTTCTTCCTCTTCCTCCTCCTCCTCTTCCTCATCTTCTGGTTCGTTCTTCTTCTTTGAGCCTGTTGGCCTGCCAGGGCCCTTCTTTCCTGCTTCACTTTTGCCCTTGGCACGGTATGCAGCAATATCCTGAAATAATGTCAAAAAAAAAAAAAAAAATTAAATCAGCTTCCGGTATCATTACTCAACTGTGAAAACCACTTAGTTATAAACAATCTAAGATTACTGACCAATAAGCCTGATAAGTGTCTAAAACCCTATTCAAAGTCTAACTGAATTTTGAAACCATTTGTTTTCTACAAGCTTCAAAAAAACTAATGATGCAAAATGATACGTGATGCATTAAACTGATGCCAGTATTTCCACTACCAGTACCTATTTACCTCTCAAATAGGTCCCACCCGCCCCCCCCAGCTTCACATTTTAGATATCTACACGAAACACATTTGGCTGTTAAAAAACAAAAAAAACATTCATTATCAAATGAATTCACGTACAGGAAATTTATCAATACTACAAACACTGGTTTTTTGAGTCAAAAGAATTAATTTATGTTACTTAAGTAACATAAATACAGTTTTATTTGGCCTTTACAAAAAAGAGCTGACAACTATTAATGTTAGATTACCTAAACTGCCCAACTTTTATACCCATTTAAGGTACTTTAGAAAATATCTAATGTTAATCTCTGCTTTAAAAAGCTAAAACAATTTACCTTCTCATATTTCTCCTTTAGTTTAGCCGCTTTCTGTTCATATGGCTGTTTATCTTTGGCTGACTGTTCAGACCACATTTCACCCAATTTTTTTGCAGTATCCCCAATGGACAGGCCTGGGTGTTCACTTTTGATCTTTGGGCGATGTTCAGAGCAAAACAGGAAGAAGGCAGATCTGAAAGGAAGCAACAGTGTTAATAAAGAAGGAAAAATCCAAGGGCCAATTTTATTGATATTTAAAACAAACTTACGGAGGCCTTTTTGGAGCATTGGGATCCTTTTTCTTTCCCTTCTTATCACCTTTGGGAGGGACGTAATTCTTCATCTCCCTGTCATAACGAGCTTTGTCACTTTTTGCCATATCTTCAAACTTAGACTTTTCCTTTGCAGACATGGTCTATTGGCATAAAATGGGCAGTCAAACCATAAACTATGAATGCTAGAAAATGATCATGACTTTTAAGGACATTTTCTCTAACAGTATTTTCCTTTAGTGGCCTTAAATATGTAAGTAAAAGCCTAAAGCATGTGTCTAAAAACTCAGATATCTGGGTGAGTCATCAGAATAGGAAAGCTGAAACTTAAAAGTTACCTGCCTACAGCTCTAGCCAAAAAAACACACCTGAAAACCCTTGGCTCTCAGAGCTCCCATCTCTCTCACCTTCCATCTCTCCGAACATTTCTTGGAGAATTCGGCGAAATTGACGGAAGAGTCTGGGTGTTTCTTCTTGTGCTCTTCCCGACAGGTCTGCACGAAGAAGGCATACGAGGACATTTTGCCCCTCGGCTTGTTGGGGTCTCCTTTGCCCATGGTGACAGACGGCGTCTACCTAGAGGGCCAAAGGCGGCGGGTGGGTCGGTGCGGCGCCGGTAGCAGCCAGGGCGGGCGCTGGCGGGGCTCCGCTTCCCGCCCAAATCCGCTCC